GTGCTGCCCCCCAGTTTGTGATCGTAGACTCAACAGATGAATCACCTTTCACTGTTAGGGTTCTGGAGGCTGACGTTTCACGAGGAGGGGGACTTGATAATACAATGAACCCCTTCATCAGCTGTGGAAGCCAACCCCCACATACCCCCCTCTACCTCTCGCTTTCCGCTCCACTTGGCTGCCTGTAGTTCCCCCACATACCCGAGCAGCCCACATGTCTCATCCCCGCAGAGATGAAGCCGGACGCTCATTTTTTTTAACTTGTGCACTTCTATAAAGACAGATGATGGAGGTAGAGACCCAGAAGTGTGCGGCTGCTGTGTTTGAACCCATCTTTGCATTGAATCCTTTCCCAGAGACGCCCCTGTGGGTCAGATGGTTCGGTGACGCCTCGCTTCATTATGCATCACTGTCAGGGAAGGCGTTAATTGCTGCTCATATTTCTGCAGCCTGGAGGTTGCTGAACACATGATGGTTGTTTGTATGTGTGCAAACATTCACATGCTGTAATTCACGTGGAATTTTTCAATGGTTTTGATGGGAATGTGGAGGAGAGGAGGGTATTTGCACAGACATGCTGGTGGAGTGAAAGAAGGCATCATATTTTAAGATTTCTTTGCACTTCAAGACACAGAATTGTCTCAGTTCCTCCCTTTTGAAGGCTGGTTCGCTTTTTGCTGCAGGTTTGCTTTAGTTTTCTTCTTCTTTCTTCGTCTGGATTCCTCCTGAAGCCACCATCCACATAGTCTTCAAATGCACTGCTGGGTTTCAATTAGTGGAAATGAATCAAGGGAGGGGGAAACTCTGCAAATTACAATCTTAATTTGATCCCAAACACGCAAACAAACAAACACACCAAAGTTTGATGATAAGGATTTTGCTTTTTTGGCCTAAAAGGACAATCAGATTCATCACTTTCACTTAAAACACAGACTCAAGATTGACTGCAATGATTTATTTTGCAAACAGAAGCATCTGAGCTCCATTTTTCAGTCATTAGCACATTCATTCTTGCAGTAAGAGAAGAGGATCTCTGATTCTCTTGGACTTTTATGAGCCATCCAGCAGAGTATCAACAGCAGGCACACTATATGTGCACTAGTGATTACCCTGGAGGACAAATACATGTGAAAGGTAGCCTATTAAATGCAAGTGAAGTCAGGTAGATTGTGTGTTTGCCATCATATCATACCTCCATCATGTGAAGGCATCCTGAAAACTCTTTTTTGTCATTTCTCATTTTCCAGTTTCAGTGTAGTGGCCTTCATCCTGCTCATACTGGTTTTCCTTTCCTTTCCTTTTCTTAAGCTCAGCTGCTTCTACTTCTCTCCTGTGCACATCAATGTGTTCTGCCGGCACGCTCATCCTGAGGTTGCATTTGAAGAAGAGGTATTCCCTAAATGTGCTGAAATGTGCAGAATTCGCTGCTATGATCTATTTTCCCCCCTCACCTACAGCTCTGCCCCACCCCCAACATCATCGCTCAATTAAATGTCTGTGTTTGGTCTCTCTTATTGAGGTCCGAGTTCAGGCCTGAGGTCATTTGGTTTCTGCCAATCAGAGGGGGGGATTTGTAGGTGGCCTGGGACGAAATGCTCCCCCAGAGGCCTCCTTCTGGGGAAAGACACAATTACTGCTGAATTTATTGTTGACAGCCTCCCTAAAAGGGCTCTCGTATAAAACAGCTCTTTGAAGGGGGATACCTGAGCAGTATAATGGAACAAAGCTTTATTCTGTATTTTACCTCATTAACAATCTTTTTTTTTTTCCCTCTGCGGAAACACAAAATGTCTCATTAAGATGCAAAGCTTGGAAAAGCTCCAGAAAACAAAGTGACTGTCAGCACGGCGCTTGTTACTCCTAACCTTTACATCCAAATGAGTATCCTTGTACTTTAATCTGCTCCACACCTGATAATGTTTCACTTCTACCCAGAAAATCATCCAGGATATGTTTACTGTCACTTCTTCGCTCTTTGGTGATTCATTTTCCACGCTGCGGTGAGTTCGTGTGGCATTATAGGAACAGGCCTCAGTAAATTACTCTCTGCGATCGGCTTTTTTAGAAACTCACACAAGTGGAGAGACAGGCAGACAGACAGGCGGAGATTTTTTCTTTTCTTGGAGGAGTTTAAGATATCATTTCCTCTGTTGTTCCTTATCAATGCCTCTTGATCGGAGAGTGTCCACATTCTGGATCGCCTCCTCCTGGCCGTCCATCTGTTCATCAGGGGGCCGCCTGTGCCCGTGTCTGTGCCTGTGTCTGTGCGGCCACACCGCGCTGACCACAGTCTGATGATCTCCAAAAAACCCACAGCAGATCCGTTTCTGACACCCTCCACACAATCCTATTTTCCAAACTGCTGATTCCTCTTCTTCTCTGTGATCCTTTAACAAGCTTTCCTTTTTATAGAGCTTTGTCATTTCTGCCATGTGTCTTTTACTAAAATAGCTCTATTCCAGCCCCAGAACGGTGGAAACTCTCAAGCGTTTTTGTCAGGAGAAGTTTTAGAAGTCCAGAATCCCTTTCCCCGTAGCGCTCTTTATCACAGTCGGCGAGTGTTACTGCGATACCGCCTACAGGTTGAACGTCTTCATTAGACGCCTGTTGACACTAATCTGAGGCGACATCCACGAGCACTCAGGTTAATTTACTAGATTTACAGCGCAAACAAAGGAGCAAATAATCTTTCCATCCCAGCCAGAGTCCCTCATCCTAACAGAGACACATGTGACAAGGTGTCCAATTAATCTTTGTTCTATAAAGGTTATGATGCAGCGTGCTGTCCTCAGCAAAACTCGCAGCGGCTCCCATTTAAAAAGTTTGTCCCCGCTGACAGGAAGAGTTTAGTCAAATGATGCAAGAATCCATCTCAAGAGTAACTCAGAGAGTGTAATGTTTTCATCATTCGCATATGAAGAGGTGGATCACGACTGCTATAAAAGGTGCTGCTCAAAAAATTAGAATAACATGAAGCAGTTAGTTAAACACATAACAAGACTTTGACTGTTTTAATTGTTTGTTTCTCATTTCCTGCCCTATTTCAACTGGCCAATCAAGCGCAGTAACACTGTAGTAGGAAAGACAGTTTCTTGTAGTTTTGGCGCTGTGTGCAGGTGCCAGGTCCTGCTGGAAAAGAAAACCCAAATCTCCATGAAGCTTCTCAGCAGATGAAAGCAAGAAGCGCTTCAAAATCTCGATGCTGCATCGACTTAAGACTCGAGAAAACACAGTTGACCAGTGGTTCTCAGCTGGTGGGTCCTGACCCAAAAATGGGGGTTGGAGCCTATCCCAGCATCTTTGGGCGAAGGCAGGGGACACCCTGGACGAGTCGCCAGTTCATCACAGGGCTGACATATAGAGACAAACAACCTTCCACACTCACATTCACACCTACGGGCGATTTGAAAGCGGCCAATTAACCTAACCCCACGTAGGCATGTTTTTGAGATGTGGGAGGAAATCGGAGTACCTGGAGTAAACCCACGCAGACACAGGGAGAACATGCAAACTCCACACAGAAACGCCCTGAGTCGGATTCGAACCCACGACCTTCTTGCTGTAAGACGACGGCGCTAACCACTTCACCACTGTGCCGCCCCTAAACAGCTGGTCAATAAAGTAAATATGTAATGCTCATCTGATGTTTGACATGTCTATTATTTTGAAAAAAAAAAAAAAAAGCTTATTTTGTGCAATTTGATATTTATTTGATATTTTCTGTATCTGGAACTTCATTAATTGTCGTCCTCAGTTCATGTGCTCTGAAATGCACTTTACTCAATTAAACAGGGGTATTTGTGTTAAAGATTTGAGTGTTTAAAGGTTTTTTTCAATAAAAAATAAGTTTCCTTGGTTTGAATTCTATAAAATTAGGTTGCAACTTCAAGACCATTGGTTGAGTTGAGAACCACTGCAGTAGACCAACACCAGCAGATGACATGACACCTCTAACTATCAGACTTCACACTGCAACCATAAAACCTTGGCTCCTGTGCGGCTCAGATTTTCCTCCAGATACTGGGACCTTTATTTCCAAATGAGATTCAAAATCTATTTTGATCTGAGAACCTGACTTCGCACCCCTGAGTAAGAGTCCACTTCTCTTTCTTCCTCGCCCAGGCGAGTCGCTTATGACGTTGTGGCTCAGGAGCAGGAACTTGACACTTGTAGTCCATTTCCTGGGCTTGCCTGTGTGAAGTGGCTCTTGATACTCTGACTCCAGCCTCTGTCCACTCCTTATATCTACTTTTCTTTTTTTTTTGGCAATCCTCACACCCCCACTCATCCTTGTTGCTTGTGCATCTTTTCTTGCCGCATTGTTCCCTTCCAGTCAACTTTCCATGAACACACATCCAGACAGCACTCTGTGAACAGCCAGCCTTTTCATCAGTGACCTTCTGCGGTTTCCCCTCCTTGTGGAGGGTGTCACTGATTGTCGTCCAGACAACTGTCAGGTCAGCAGTCTTCCCTGTGATTGTGATTGTGTGTACTGAACTACAATGAGCGAATAAAAGGCTCAATAAACCTTCGCAGGTGTTACGAGACAATTTGCTGATTAGAGCTCTTTAAGGGACTTAAGTCACTGATAAGAAATGAGACTTTAACATAAATTTAAATTCTGTCTTTTGAGAGCATTTAGCCGTTATCATCAAGATATAAAAAATCTAGTTCTTGAATTAGTGGGAGATAATAAACTTTGTCATGATCGTCGTTTTTTTTTAAGGAGTCTGCTCAGCTTCTTTTTTTATCTACTGTCCTAACCCCTCGATTAAAAGCTCCACAATCCATAAGTTTGCCATAAGGAGGAGAAGATCCAGATTTTCTCCTTACAAGAACCCGAGCAATTTACAAGTGAAAACCACACAGGGTTTGTGTGTTTGTGTGAATCAGCAAATACAAAACAAACTGGGTCACTTTTACAGGATGTTTCCCCTCGCTGTCTCTTGACACTTAAATACAAACACAAAGGATAATAACAGACCGCTGTTCTTTCGGTGATTGAGGGTCGGGTTTGGCTTAAAATAAACCTCAAAGCTTTTGTGAGAAGACTTCAGTTTGCTCGCTCGGTTGAGGTGGAGGGACGGCTGCTGTCATGCTTTATTGACAACCTCAATAAAAAAGTTCTGGCGGGTCAAAAGGAAAGAAAAAAAATGAACAGATGGATCCTGCACTTGAGTCGGACATTTTGGCCCCCCATCAATCAGCCTGGACTTTCTCCCTCAGTGACCCAACAGTAACACAAGACTTTACCTAAGACTCTTTTCCACTTCAATGCAAACCTATTTTTTACTAGCTGTTTACTTGATTTCCCGTTTAGAACATTGATTGACTGCTGTGTTTCTGTGTAAGGGTATTAAAGCTAGTTTACTCATTTGATCACGCTGTTCACAGCTGTTCGTCTTTGGTCTCATATTACACACAGCTGGACTCATCGGTTGCCTGTTGAGTAAGTTGAGTCACGCAGGTTTGTTTTGATGTGACATATTTGGGTAATATTTGAGTGTTTGGAGCCAAGGGTGCATCCAGACTTTTTGAGTTGGGTGGCTCAGCTGGGGCACCGATTAAGTTTGTATGCACACACCCATAAACGAATAACATTAGCTTACCCTCACTACACCCATTGAATATATCTACTTTAGTTCTATTATGAATCTGTGTATAACTTTTCAAACTTTATTAAATCGCTTTTAATTTGGGAAGAACTGATTCTTCTCCTGCACACAAGTCCAAAGTAAAAAGCCAATAGTAGTTTAGGATACTACAGCATGAGTGGTTTTGGTAAATAGTGAAGGTTTTTTTTTTTTTAAGCTTGTGCAGTGGTGTGTGTTTTGTAACACACAGCCTTGGTGAGTAACACCCATTTAGTTAGTTTCTTGTGTTAATATAGTTGACACAATGCACTTGAATTCAATGGATAAATATTTGTATTATTTTGGATTTATGGTGTGCAATTGTGGTGTTTATCTTTGCAGTACAAATGATTTATTCATTGTTTTAAGGGTGGGGCTGTTACGGCTGTGTGTTTGTTTTGCATGTGTTTTTCCCCTTTTGTCTCTCCATAGCTGCCCAGGTGAAATCACTTGAGTGCCAATCAGACTCACCTGGTGCTGGGAGTCTAAAAGCCCAGAGCTGTCTGCAGTCTGGAGAGGCATTTGGTGGGGAACTGCTGCCCTGCTGCCTCTCATTTGTGTTGTGGGTGCTTTGTGTCTAGTTTGCTATTTTGTTATTTTGTCACAATAAATCACGTGTTAAACATTTGAAGGTGTTTGTTAATTTAATGGGTCAAAAGTTGAGGATTGTTGTTAGCCCCATAGGGCCGCCTAAGGGTGGGGCGTAACAACTTTAATAGGGCGCTCACACCAAGCACAAGTAAAATCATATTCGTTCGAATCTAGACGCGTGAATGAATGGTATTTACTCGCTTCATTCGCGCGTCAACGGTAATTTCAACGGTAATCCCTGCCAACTCAACCCGCGGGATCAACAGACAAATCTTTTTTACAATTTACCAGGTAATCCAACCTCCTCACTTACTTCTTTCCAGACGGGCTCCTTTTTATTCCGGTTTCGGTAATTGAAAGAAAAGATATCATGTAATTCGGGGCACCAAGACACCGACTCGATCAGTTTGTTCTCCATTTTAGATACCACTGAACAACCGTCAGTTTTCATACATCTGACACCCTCGTGCTCAGTAGTTATCACGACTCAAGTTGAGATTCGCCCAATTTGCGTCATCCGCGCCAGTCGTACAAGCATCTAACCATCTCTTTGCGTTGACTTAACATGTAATTCATTCGCGTGAATGATTTTACTCGCGCTTGGTGTTACTGTGTAAACATATTTCAGGTTTCCTGCAAACGTTCTTTGAAGGGATACCTAAGAATTATACTCCTGCCTCTATAGGTTACAAATGATCATGCTCCTCTTATTTAAAGACAGGGTTTTCTTTTTCATTGACATTCACAGTGAGTCGAGGCATTTTCCCACATCCTTTGTCAATGTTAAGGTCTGCCCACCACTCATGAAAATTGATGAGCATATCTTTGAACTAAAGATACCCAGCTTGCTAACTCTAACCAAAGTGAACCTTTTGCATCAAACTTCAAAGCTGTCAAGTCCGCACACCTCCTGCTTTTGAGGTAACAGCTGATCAGACTTTATATTGTGACAGTTACACAAACCGGTGGCTGTGTTAGTAAAATTCTGACTGATTTGGGCAAATCAAAAAGTGTTAGCCAAGGAATGGATGTAGAAATAAGCGGGCAAATTATCCCCTCTCCTCCCATGATGCATGACTTCAGGGTCGGTTCCTTTGAGCAGCGACAGACCACTCCAGATTAGTTCTTGTTCTGCACACCAGAGCCTGGCAGAAATCTCCTGCCAGCAGCAGCGGGAAGGCACAGCCGAGTTCCTAAATCCTGCAGTCAACAGCCACCCAGCTCCGTCTGCACTACTCCTGGCCTTGATTACAAATTGTGTGCCATGGTGGCTGGCTCCAGAAAGGGGGCCACATGGAAATATTCAATTATGCTGGACTGGATGGCTGAGAGTACTGCCGGGATTTAGAAATTTGTCATCTACATGAAGTTATCAATAAACGACAAAATTCAGTGTTTTAGAAGTGACAGGCTGTACAAGCGAGTCCTCCTCAAACGTTGTCTTCCAGGCTGATGGTTCTATTTTTCTCCTGTCCCTCTCTAAAGTGAAAGCTTATAGATTCAGATTCAATTTCATCATTAGACTGCCAGAGCCCTCAGGAAAGATAGATGCAAATAGCTTTCATCCTATAACCTACAATGGCTCAAAGACCAATATAGGTATCCCAGACAATGGACGTGATTAATTGCAATCCCATGCTCCTCTTCTTTTGCCTCAGTCCACAATCTCCACAATCGAACGTCAACAGAGCATTAGAGGAAGCTTAGGACAAATATGAGGAAACACAACGCCATTTTTTTCTCTGTAAATTAAATTAACATATTGACTTGGCTGAATTGAACCATCACCATTATTACCTCAGGTTACTGTTGATTGGCTAACATGAATTAGCTAAGGTGCAGAAAAAAATCAAAATCAATCAAAAAATAAATCGAGATTCAGAAACATACGGGCTAATGTCTGCTGGTCTTTCTGTCAATAGTGAGAAGTGAAATCATATTGCACTCATCGAAAACATCCCCCGAGTTGTGAGTAAGAACATTAAACTGTAAAGGGAGACTGCCATTAGAGGCTTAAGTTGTCTCACTTGGTTGTGTTTTGCTTGATAATGGGCCTGTAGGGCTACTCTGTGCACCGCAGGTCCACTTAATGCTGTGCTGATCTGTTCGAGCCCATTACTCAGAGAATCCTTGTCATTGCCCTTGCCCTTCTCCAGTACCACACTCCAGCTCTCCCGTAATGGGATGTCTGTATTTACAGCAAGCCCTGATTACAAATACAGAGGCAGCGGTATGGGATACTGTGTCTACCACTCCCAGCTTTCATGTTTGACACCTGTAAGTAGGGAATTAAAGGGGGTTACTCATATTGCAAACGTGAAGGCACACAGAGGCAGATTTGGTGGGCTGCCCCAGAGGGAAACACTATCTCTGGGAAACAGAGACATGTACGTGAGGGAAGGAGTAAATCAACTGCATTTAAATAAGACGATACAACCTGTAGTAAGAACGTCTAAATCAGGTCAGTGTTTATGTTGTGACAGGTAGCACAGGCAAAGTAAATCCTGCACGTAGACAGAGTCTCAAAATGCTAACCTTATTTTGCTCCTGTTCTCCTCTACAATATTAATTTTTACAGTAGACTCTAAACAACACTGTGATACTGAGTCGATTTTTAGCTCTCAAGTCAGGATTTTTGCCAACTGTGTAGAGAGAAGTGACATGATTCAAATATCAGCGTTTATAGGCATTGTTACACTTCTATTTTAGTGAAGTTTCGTCTGTCAAAATCAGCAGGATGAGATTTTTTTTCCCCTAGAGGTCACTACTCAAGCATGTAGAGGACAAGATTAGCAAAAGCTGCTTTGTCCACAGGGGGCGCCAAAGTTGACACAAACCAAAAGTTCCAAACAGGGTCTTTAAGCTTGAAAACTTGTTCATAGCCTCTTTGTTCTCTCCACCACCAACACTTACACAGAAAACATACATTTTTGACTAATCATCTATAAGTTTACGACAAGAAAGTAATTTGAAAACAAATGCATAAGGCAGGGATATCCAACTTAAACACGGACGTTTAAGTTAAGTATAAAGATAAAACCACTAGAAATCTAATTTTTCAACAGAGGTCAGAAAGGTTTCAGAATAAGTAAAAAATCAGTAAAAACTCAATAAATCAAAAAAGGAGGGGTTCATTAAGTTTGACTCAGTCTAGTATATAAGAGAAAAAAAATCAATCCGATAAAAAGCTACACAAAGTCAGCTGGCTATGTCTATCAGCTGTATCCATCTACACATATAGATGTTTGTGGCATCAGTATTCTCATTTAGATCACAGAAAACTTGCTCCCACAAACATAGATCTATTTTCACTTTGAGCTGGGATACATCAACTCTAAAACGGTAATGATGCTTAAATTTTTGTGAACAGATGTTAAAAAAATTCTCCATATGAAAATTTGGGGATATTTTCAGAAGATACCTGATTGAGATGATTTCTTAATTATGTTGAAAAAATTATAACCAATGTTAAATCTCTTTCGCTGAGTGAAAGCCGCAGTGATTGAAAATCAAACATCAAATTTCTTTTACACGTGTAGACTGTTTTGAATTAGAGAGGAAGAAACACTGTGTAATTAAATAACCTCACAACATGCTCAAAGTCTGCTCTTCCGATCATTGACTGATGGTGTTTCATTAAAACTTGCTGTGTGGACAGAGACAAGCAGTGGTTTGATGATTGAGGATACCTCAGACACCCTGCCAGAATAACACACTGTGTCCTGTCTTTGTTTACAGCCTGGCTGAGAGAGGAGCTCTATAGACTTTACTCAGTCAATACAAACACTGTTGTAGACCCCAGCTGCTTTATAACTTGGCTGCATGAAGCACACACATGCAGGCGCGGGCGCAGCGGGATGACTGGAATGCCTCTGGGTGTTCTGCTCTGGCTGTGTTATCCATGTAGAGAAATATTAGTACATGGCGGGGAGTATATTTCATATATGAGGACTTTCCATGAGATTTAGCTCTGCTCTTGCCACCAACATACTGCAGGCTGTAAGGATTAGAATATAGAGCTTCTCTATTTAACATGCCAGATAAAAGGAGCATGTTTGAAGTAAAGCTGCTGCAGTTTGGTGATATAGGACAAACAGGGGACATATGATTCAGTTTGGGGACGAAGTATGGAAGCATTTGACTCATTGACAATCCTCCTTTTTAAACTTTCTTCATTTGAAGTAAAGATTTACAGCTAATACTCAAATTCATCCGTACACTTCTCTAAAATGTTCGGACTGGACGAGCTTTAAAGGGATTTTCCAGCGAAAAATTAATTTAGGGTCAAACACACCGTAACACCGAGTTAGACTCCCCCTCAAGAGATGAATGTTGAAGACCGCTTGCTTCTCGAGTTATACCAACTTTACTAACGACCGCAACATAGCAATACGCAGCAGTCTGAGGAGCCATAAACAAACCTCAACCAAAACGCCACTCTATAGCCACAAATAATGCTCAGAACAGCACCTAACTTCATCAACAGTACATATAGGGTCCTAGCCATAGCACTAGCAACCAAACATCTTTTTAACTTTGCCTAATTTCTTTAGCAAAGAGACTAAACACAACTCACCTACTCTCTTCCAGCAGCCGCTTGTTTGTCGCAAGACCTCGGGCCAGTCCATTACAGACTACAGTGTGGTGATGCAGCTCAAGGAAGAACATTTATGATCATTTCTTCATGGAAATGCAATCAGACTGAGACACTAAGGCAGAAGAACTACAGAGTCTGCAGTGCAAAATGATTAATATGGTGATTATTACTTCAAGAGAATCATAAAGTAATGATCATAAATGTTCTTTCTTGAGCTGCGTCACCCCGCTGCGGTAATGGACTCACCAGAGGTCTCACTACAAACAAGCAGCTGCTGGAAGAGAGTAAGTGAGTTGTGTTTAGTCTCTTTGCTAAAGAAATTAGACAAAGTTAAAAAGATGTTTGGTGACTAGTACTATGGCTGGGACCCTATATGTCATGTTGATGAAGTTAGGTGCTGTTCTGAGCATTATTTGTTGCTATAGAGTGGCGTTTTGGTTGAGGTTTGTTTATGGCTCCTCAGACCTCTGTGTATTGCTATCCTGCAATCGTAACTAAAGTTGGTATAACTAGAGAAGCAAGTGGTCGACAACAACATTCATCTCTCGAGGGGGTGTCTAACTTGGTGTTATGGTGTGTTTGACCCTAATTTTACACCAGAATATCCCTTTAATATATCTGTGACGCCGATATCTGCCGGTGTCATGACAACAGCTGCCCTGAATCTCACCTCAGACTCAAAGAGGGCAGCAGGGCAGTGCTCATGCCTGTACAAGTAGCTAAGAAAACAAACTCAGACAACATCGTCTGCTGTTTGAGGATGATGATGATGAGGATGAAGTCTCCGGGAGCGTTTGCCCTTTTTAGGTCTTCCTGTGACTTCAATTTAAGCTCTTTCTTTTTCTCGTGTTGCAGTGTTTACGGAGTTGGCGTCTAAAGTTGTGCTGAAAACCAAACTTCACTTGAATTTGTCAAAAGCAAACTGCTAAATATCTACATGCAGAAAGGAATGAAAAGTCCAAGATTTCACAGTCTGCCTCTCTGTGTAAATTCTGCAGGATTTTTTGACAATAAAATGTTGGAGTCAATCATCAGCCGCCAGGTTTTGGCCTGCCCGTGAGGTGCCTAACGACTCTGCAGTATAAACTCACATGTGCTCATTAATGGTCTTCTGGTCGCCTAATGGTTCCTCCGCATGCACTGGGCCTCTCTATTTTGTTTTGTTATTATTTGTCTGACTCTGAGCAGTGTGAGTTTTCAGCCTTCCATGCTGTTCTCCAAAGTCTTCACTCCACAGTTTGGAGCCATCACATCCTCAAACAGGATTATGATGTCTGAGGGAGTTCAGAGCTTCAGGGCTTATGGGGGACACCAAAAACTGAGCAAGTCTGTTTTTAAAGCCGTTTTTGTTTCAGATCTGCAGGATTTGTGAATTGTCTGTATGCATTTACTTGGGTCCGATTTGACTTCTTGTTGCCAGCAATAAGCTCTTGTTTCAACTATTGATCCCAGTGAAGTGCTCCAAATTTAACATCCTCTTCTTTTGCATCTGTGCTTGGGTCCGATCCCAGCTGCCCTGTACCTAAACAGAGAAAATGAGCCATTTGGATGAATGCCTGCTTTAATGATTTGCATATCCCTCCTTCTTAAAAGTGTAAAAAGAAAATTAATGGAGTTTTTTTGGACTATAGGAGGTGAAAAAACAGGGATATTTCACTGACTTTAAATTAGACCTATGGTAGTGGCGGCTCTCGGGCGCTTTAATTGAAGGTATTGTATGAACAAAAGGCCATCCTTCCAGGTGTAGTGAGTGAGCGCTCCAGCAGCCAGTCTTTCATCACAGTGTTAGAGTGCAACAGCAGCCACCCGTACAGACTCTATTCAGGCTTTCTAATGAAATGCTTCATCTCTGTCATCAGACTGCTATTTTCACGATCTATTAAACCTCATGCTTTCATGCACTGTTATGCATTATGTGCCTTTGACTTCTGCTAGCCTGCAGCATTGTTTTAATTATAGAGCAGAGGGGATCCTTTGCTTAAGCTACATTATGGCCGTTATATGGATTTTTTTTCTGAGGAGTTTGAGATGACTTCCTTTGTAATTTTCCACCTTGTTCGGTGGCCTTCCCGCCGCACAAATCAAACCAGCTGATTGAATAACAGCGACTTTGATGTTAATGTGTTTGCAGGGTTTCGGCATCCACCAAATCCAACACACAACACACGTCCACTAAAGATGCACTCCACATAAATGACCACAGGGCTGAATTGAGGAGTAATCTCCTCCAACAGGGAGCCTGGGCTGAATGTAATGGCATAGCTTAGCTGCTTATTGGAATCTGGACCACTGTATTTGCCCAGGAGGTGCACAATAAATTACAACCTTCAATCTACTCTGGTTATTCAGCGTACCGACTTGGGGGAGTAAAAATAAAAGTTTTCAAGCACTGGAATAGGATTTCATGAAAATGCACTTGCTTTAATGAGGCTCAATGTCAATATGAGAAAGCTGATGCAACAACCTTATTTGGTGTTATTTGCTTTGGTCTTTTTCACTAAAGTATGGTATCTATAGGCAAAGATTGTGCCAGTTTAGTCCACTTAATGATTCAATGTAGTCAAACTACATTCTTATACTATCTAATATCCTTATTAATATAGGCTCAAACTCCAGTCATACTTCCATAACGCTATAGTGCTGTATAGCG